CACGTAGGAGTGGGCCAGGGAGCTTGTCCTGCCCTGCCCCCTCCGCTCTGGCGCTGGCCACCTGCCCCAGAGGAACATCTTGTTGCTGTCACCCCTTGACTCCGTTGGTACAGTGAGTTCTGCTGCACCACCCACTCGGGTACCGCCGCCATGGTGCAGGGCTGCAGGCCTTGCAGGCACCCTCTGGGGCTCTGGATCTTTGCCTTGCAATCTGCTGGTAGGAGTGCTGCTGAGTGATCTCGCTGATTCATTTCACAGGACCTAAAATCTACACGGAGGTGAATATTAACTTCTCTTTAGTCCACCAACAGGATCGCTAGGCGATAATTGCTGAATGCAGTGGAAGATCACCGTTTTGCAAGCAGTGCTAGACTTTGCTATCTGAAGATATCAAGCTCAGCATTTCCTTTCCCTTTTACAGTTGTTTTTGGTTTTTTGCAGCATTTCTCTTTATTTTTCATTTCTGTGAGTGTGTCTTCCACTCTCTTCTACTTTTTTCCACCTACTTGTTATCTATTTCTCTATTGCCTTTCCCAGTGTGTTGTTTTGCCATGGATGTCAGTAAGAATTATGCCTGCTACAAAGCATAATATATTCTAGATGCACTATTTACTTTAGAAATCATTCCCACACAATTTATTCCCCTTCCTTACAGGATTAAAACATTTTAGAGGTTAACATCCACAGTAGTTGCTCAGTAGTTCCTAATATACAGCACCAACAACTAATTGTCGCAAATAGAGCATTACATCAAAGCTGCAGCAAAATTATGCTGCCTTTTCACGTAAATTCACTGGCATAAATGATTAGGACAAGGGTGAGATCAGTATGAATGTGGAACCCTACTTGCATTTTCTACAGTAAATTTGTTAGCATAGATCTGCTTGCTTGTTGCATACCGAGTCTTAATAATACACAGTATGATACACAGTAAACTGGGCTTCCATCCCTAATCATCAGGGCCTACAGAATTCTCTTGCAGAGTTCTTTCATTTATGCAATCCTATGCATCTAATGCAGAAACACATTCCACTGTTTTTAATGGAGTTTACTCCCTACTTATGTGCTGATGATTACAGACTTTCTAGAAAGGAATCTCTGGAAAGATTAGAGAATTCAATGGGGTGTTACTTCTGAATAGATATGCTCAGGGTCTGCAGTAGTTACATCCTTCCTTTTTTAAAGCAATACTGTCATGACTGGCAGTTGTCTGCTGCTCTTTTGTAGCATTCCTTTTCTGTTTTTCACATTTACACCTTCAAACATTCTGTTTTATTTCTTAAGTGGACCATGGAGGCCCCAGTGGCCTTGCTCAGACTTGTTATTACCATGGCATTAAAGCCAGGCAGAGTGAGAAGAAAAACATTGCAACCAAAATGTGGCAGAAATTGAGACAAAGGGTGAAATGAATGAGAGAAGTAAAACTGTTAGGCTTTGTGATCAGACAAAAGTGGGGTGCTAATGTTAGCTTTCCTTCCTTTCTGTGCTGTAATATGGATGCTGTTTTCTGGTGTCTAAACAGTACTTCCACTCCATTACACCTCTTACCCCATAGAATTATATAATTTGTTCATTTATTTAATACATTTCTATCCTGCCCTATAGCTGAATAATGTAAACTCCCAATTGCCATGGAAAGACTACAGTCTTGAGATGGGACAAAGGACTGCATTAATTAAATAAATTAACAAAATAAAGATCTCTACCAAGAGCTGGTAACAACAGTCAGTAAACAATGTATCTTCCAATTAAAATAAGAACTGGTGATTAACCTTGTTTTCCTTTCCTTGTGCCTTTTTTCCTTTTGTGTCGTATCTTTAGACTGTTAAGCTTGCAGACAGGGACTGTTTTACTTTTACTGATCTTATATAAACTTCTCTGGAAGGCTTTTTCAGCTGCTGAACAAGGGAGAAAGCTTCAAATAAATACATGCAATACTTTTCCGACAAACCTGAATATTGTTATTCAGAGGCACCAAATGTGTCACATCAGCAAAAGCAATTAGTGTGAGTGATCCATCAAATGGACTTGCAAAACATATACAGTAGGTGAGCGTATCCAGTGTTCCTGGAGGAGGCTGCCTGTCCAGCATGTCTGTTGGCCGAAGTGCAACCAGGGCCTATTCCAGCGAGGAAAAGAAAAGGTTTGTGTGTGGGAGGCAGAAAGAGCTGGAGGTCAGAGCATCACTGCTTCGCTCAAATAGAGGCATCACTCACGTAGAGGCATTGCCAACACTTTATTTGAAAAAAGTGTGAACAAGGGAGCGCTGCAGACTAGTAAGCTTGGGGATGGGGAGAAGCAACCAGTATTGATCTAGAAATAGCAGGGAATGACCTCAAGGAACTAACCTGTGTGTTTGACTGAGGGCGGGGGGAACAGAGAGAGAGAGAGAGAGAGGGAGGGATGAACGGCATGAGTACATCACATGCCGAAATTGTTGTTTGTGTATCTCTGTGAATGTGGAAGGGAGAGGGAAGGAGAGAGAATGAAAGACAGAGGGATGAGTAGTTTTAGAGGGCAATTTCAAATGAAAAATGGGGGCTCACCTATGCCTTGTATTCAGGTTCTATGGCAAACCATTCTCCAGTTAGCTCTATCAGTCTGAAAGGGACTGCCCATGGCTATCACTGTGGTCATTTCAAGCACCTATGGCACTTCCACAAAACTCTAAATGTGCCCACTGGTCCAAGCTGGGTGGACACCTTTCTCAAATTATTGTAGATTTCCACATAAAGAACACCAGGAACTTCTAATTTCTGTATAAAATATTACCGTATATATGTAACTTTTGACAAAGTAACATGTCAAAAATGCCATTTGAAAACATATAAATCATTTCCTGGGGTTTTTCTCTCTTTTTAAATAAACCAGCTCTGCTATGCTCTGTCAGGACCCATACCAAGAAATCTGATGAAAGGGCAACTTACCGAAGCAATTCTGTATGCATTTATTGTCCGACTGGATGGAATTGGTATGCAAAACACTGCCGCAGGGGCACCCCCTCCCAATTTGGCACAGTTCCCTGATCTTGCCAGACTGAACTCACACCTGCATCCCACAGCCCCATGAATAATTAGCACGGTTACTTTGACAATGGCCACTCCTAGTTCAGGGAGTGATGTGGGCATCTGGGTACACAGACTGAAGCTGAACCCTGCCCCACCTCCACAGTCACTAGTGGTAACGTGGCAGGGGGAGATGTTGACATGGGCTGTATAAGGGCAGATGTGGGGGTCCTCATGTGTGGGCTCACCAGAAGGATCTGGATATTGGGGCCTCTGGCTGTAATCTGGGGCACAACCATGTATGCTTGATTTTCACTGGAAGATACCTAGCCCATGAGCCAGTTTGCAGACATTTGCATTAGAATATATATTGTTGAGCCACAACACCTGTTGAGCTGCTGCCTGCTGCTACACATTGTGTTTGTGGTCCTCCTGTCCTTCCAACAGTCAAGAAAGGCAGTAGGATACAGCATGCATGATCCTTTTCCCCCTCCCAATAGTCAAGGAAGATAGAAAGCTGGTCAGCATTTTAATTTTGCAGCCAGAAGAAATTCATAAACCAAAAAAGGGCAATCGGTCTAACAACAGACCATGTCAAACAAACGGAATGCCAACGAATGGCACATTATTTCCCCTTTATACAAATGATAAATGTGACATCTGTGGGAGTGCTATCTCTGAGGGGTTCATTACAAACATTGCCCTATCGTTATACTAACTCTCCAAGCCACCACAAGGCAAAGATATTAAAGAGAAGGCAAGACACAAGGATGACAGCTAAGAGGCAATGGCACTCCAGCAAGAACTGTACCATGTCGGATTTCAGAAAAGGTGATCCCACACTTGTAAAGCAGCCAGTGATCCAAGACCATTTGTCAGAAAAGGGATGATAGAAAGTCTGTGGAGGGACAGCGATGGCTGTGTAATCACCTGGAACTTATCATTCCCAATGACACATAAGACATCGGTGAAGGTAGCGAAGACGGAGAAGCAGGAGGTAAAAAGAGGCAGAGAGCTGCACTACTGTTACAGGGGGATTTCGAGGCTCAGAGAATTTCGAGAAAACATTACAAGTGTCTGCAGCATTGATGAGTGTGCTATGCAAAAAGGGAATGAGCGTTTGGCTAGACACGCACTGGAAGGTTGGAAAACAGAGAACCCCAACCTCTGACCAAATGTACATATTGCTAGTGATTTGCGGCAGTCAATGGAAAAGACAGGAAAGGGCAACTCACTCAAACCATGGCACCTTCTTGGCACGTTTCCTAAATACAGCACTCATTTGCATACAGTGATGAGGAATCAAATTGGTCTCCAATCTCAAAAGCAATGATTGCTACACAAAGTGCATTTTCAAGGCTCAGTTAAGATGCTGCTACCAAAAGCCACCCTTATCACATACCTCTAAGGCGACATGACCCAGGGCTCCATGCTGACTCCCTGTGGCACAGAGAACTCTCACCCCATGGGATACGGGGAGAAGAATTTGTGCAAATGGCTTGTATCACAGCCCATGGTGGTCAGGTTCCTGTCCATTTCTCCACCATACAAATGCTGTGTTACTTGTAACATGTACTGCGAAAGTGTTGGCTGAGCATTAAGAAATACACGTATGGGGCTGCCAGGCAGATAATTCAATCACTGCATCATTCTTCTACATCTCATCTCTCCCTCTTTTTCTCTGACTTAGTATGATCTCCCAGCATCTCCAATCAGTACAGGCTAAAATGAGATCTCCATTTTTCTGGAAAAAGCATGGGAATTCCTGCAGTTGCAAAGAATGAAGCCTAGTGTCACAAGCTTCCCCACTTTTTTCTTTATCTGGTTGCAGAATCAGCCTTGATTTGCACCTGCTTTGCTGCCCGTCAGTGGCATCTGTGCCTGGCCATGAGCGTGCCAGTCCCTACTTGGTCAGGGGCTGAGATGCCACTGGTTAGACTACAGAATTGTAGAAAGTATCTTGGTGTCACATTGAAACTAAACATCAGCATTTACCTTAGTTCCTTGAAGGGGTCTGCCCTGACATTGGGAGTTTCTATGGATTTAGGGAACACTGTGCCTTCTGCTCCTGAAATTACAAAACAGAACACAAGGTGTTTATGTTACAGACTGTTAACAGGGGCATGATGCTCAAATTACATATGGCATATTTTACAATTTGTCTGGCCGTAGCCGGAAAATAAATAATATATCCTTATAAATATCCAGAATAAGTATAGTAGGTCTCCTTGCACCCCATTTTGCAATAATTGGCCCACTTATTGCTACAGAAACACACACTATTTTGCTTGCAGGTGTAAAACTGTTTTAAACATATTTCAGCCAGTTCTTAAATGAGGTGCTGAATGCATAAAAATATTCTGCATGTGCTACATTTCAAAATGTAGATGCTGTGTAGTACTATGGAACCACAGAGCAGAATCCTCTTAGGAAAGAGTCCCAAAGAGGGTGATGAATATAACTAGCGCTGCATGACTATTAGCAAAAACAATGGGGCCTGTGGAGCAGCCTCCCCCACCCCGAAGTCTCGCCTTGCTAGGTGAGAGGACTGGCACTGCAAAGTGAGTGTGCACGGGTATGTTGCAACCACAGCCACAGGGCAGCCTCCAGCCATGTGCCGCACCATTTCTTCTTTCTACTACATGAGGAAGAATAAAACAGCTGGCTTTTTAGTGATACGGAAAGGCCTGCTTTTATAGCATTCTTTAAGAGCAAGCCAGGAGACTTTCGACTTCCACTTGTTTCCCTCCACCCCACGTCCACCCTAGTTTCCAGAAACTGATTTCAGCCACTGCTGCCTTTTCAACCCAAATACCCACTCTCAGCGTTCCCTTCCCACTTGCGGCAAAATTGCTGAGGATGAGGCTGCTGTAGTTCTGGGGAAAAGCTTCAGCCAGTCAGCACCCCTGACTGCAGTCATCATTGCTGATAACATATAAATTAAACCGGACTGTCATTTGGGTATGACTTTTGAATGATAGTTAGTTATGGTAAAAGCAAAATGTACAATTACTACTATCATTATTACATTGCATTTCTATCCCACCATGCTTCTCATGTGAGGGATTCAAGGAATTATCCTCACAAGAATCCTCTTGGGTTGGCTAGGCTGAGAGCGACTGGCCGCAATTCACCCAGTGCCCAGTCCAGCCCTCTCCCCACCACGCTACCCTGGCTTCCACCCCTCGCTCTCACCCCACACAAGCACACATGAGTATACCATGTACGCACACAAGCTCTATTCATAGCCACGCAGCCTCTGTCTCCCCCAGCAGGCAGGCCCCCTTTCTCATGCAGTCAGCAGCTGATTGGCAGCAAGAGCTTCTCCTTCTCTGCACAGGGCTGAAGGCTGCACCTGGTCCATGGACCAAAAGTTCCCCATGCCTGCACTAGATGGTGTACTCTGCTTCTAGAATGCAGCCCGGATGATATTAAAAGATGGAATGGAACTTTGGGCCATGAAATATTCAGTATGAAAATATTTCTGTCTGGTTCTCTGCAAGGAAGTCCAGAAAATGCTTCATTATCAGTCTTCCATCGTTAACAAGCAGAAAGAAAACCTTGTCAATTCAGTTGGTAAATCAACAGCTTTTATCTCCTCGCTATGGAAAACATTTCTCCATCTACTGTGAGCAAGCTGAGAAAGAAAAGCCTGTTTCCTCGGGAAGTGTGGGGAGTCTTGCTTCCAACAAAGCAATTGATTTGTGGGATGTGCTTATGTATCTACAATGAGCAAAATTAGGCAGAGGGCAGTTACAATGTGATGTGTATTTACACTTACTGTACATTCCACGGCAATACATTATCTTATTTTATTATTTGAAAAAGAGTTTGATTTAAAACCCAGGCCTAGCAAATCATTTCTTTTGACACTATGTAATTTACCAGCAATAAATGTTCATAAACAGTTTGAGTGGAAAATCCATAAAGCTATTTCAGCTTTATTTTAAGTTCCATTTAATGCCTCTCAAAAATGATTTAATCAATGCATATTCCATTAACTGGCTTTCTGCCCAATAACTTAATTCTACATAATCAATCAGGAATTTATAAAGCATGTGACAGGACCTATCTAAAGTGTGCTGAGTTACTGTAATGATTCACTCTACACTTTTCTGCCACTCGCCCCGTTCCTGTACTGGTGAACCCTGGGCAAATAAATGTGTCAAAATCCCTCTTGTGCATTCAGTTTCTGTGGTAACAATGAGAGCAGCTTTTATAGGAAAGAGATGACTACCGCACAGTTCCTCAGACACACATTTGATGAGAGCACAAACCTTAACACCAGCCTACATAAAGAGAATAGCCATTTGATAACCCTGCTCCGCTGGCTGAGTTCTGATATTCACTGCCACATGGTAGGGATCTTAATGAGTCTCATTAAGCATTCACAGGAGAGGAGGCAGCTAACTTATCAGTCTGCATACCTCCTTTTCCAGGAAGCTCCTTAAAATGTCTTCTTGATGCAGCCAAGGTTCTGTTTCCACTGAACCAGTGCATCTGTTTCATGCCCAGCTAAACATACATCTTTGTCACACAGCCTACGAGGGGTGCAACAGCCCTGACTGCAGCCTTTGACTACTTTTAGAAGTCAAAGTATCAAGACAGGCACTGGCATTATGTCCCTGAGACATGCGTTCCGGATTCTGGACCTGCTAGAACGACTCCTCTGAGGCTAATGAAGTCACTGTGCTGTGTAATGTCTCATAAAATAAAGGACAAGGAAAGCCTGGTCCAAGCTTTACCTTGAACTACATTATGATTAGCAAAACAACCGCTAGAATTTCTGGAAAATCAATAGCTGTGCATGTGTGAAACCTTTGGGGATCCCAGTTCCTTCTTCCAGACACTTCGTTGTTCAAAACTTATTGATGTGTGTCTCATTCTTTACTCATTGCCCGGCCCTTATGTAGTTGGGGATTTTCCTGGTCACCATATTTTGTGAACTAGCTTGAGTTCCTTGATTCTCTCACCAACATTTGTATTTGTTCTTGTTATACATCTGAATGCCCCTCAAGTTGCCAATGTAGAGGAGGTATTGAAAGGAAGAGAAAGGCTAATGAAAGAATTAGTTGGCTCAGCAGACATTACAGCAGTCAGGGAGCAGGGAGGGAGGGAGTTGTGCACCGAGGCTTATCACAAACGCCTGGGTCCCTGCCAAGGACATCAAGTCACAGTTATCACTCTGGACTACAGAGGTGAGAACGGCTGGCAGCTGGGGAAGTGGAGGAGCATGTGCTCCCCTTGGGTTGGCTGCCTGGTGTCACCCCATTAGCAGGGAAAGGGGGCTCCAAAGCCCTGACTCCAGAGGGTCTTTTCACCTGATCTAGTGAGAGGTGTTTTCTCCAAGACCAGCTTCTGAGACTCATGCGGTGAGGACACCTGCATTAGGTAATTCGAAAAGTAGGGTAAACTTTGTTTTATTCCAGCAGTGCACCAGGGGGTCCATGTGCCTGGGGTCGGGACAATAGACAGCCCTGAAGCTTTGTATTATTGCTGCTGATTCCCAGTCCACTCTCCCTTTCTACTTCCTTCAATAAACTTTTATCCTGACTTGGTGCTTGTGTGAGCCGTGGGGCTAAATCTGGTGTCCAGACTGCAGGGAAGGGGCTGGGCTAAGGCACTGGGCAGATTCAGCCCAGCAGTGGGAGCTGGAGAGGGGCTTCTGCGGCCTTCCGTCACACTCAGAGCTGCAGGTGTGAGCCCCTTTTCTATACAGGCACTTTGCATGCTGCTTCTTCCATAAAGCGCATAAAGAAATGGATTTCACTATTGCCCTGCCCTTCACTGAATGCACTCACCATAAGAAATGACACAAACCACATGGTCTGTGCTACCAATGGCAGCTAGTGTATTTAGTGCTATTAACCTTCCATTGACGTTGTAAGCTTGTGAACAGGACAGCATGATTTGCACTACAATCCTTTGCACGCTTACTCAGAAGTAAGTCTCCTTGAATTCAATGGGGCTCACTCCCTATTGTGTGCTCAGGAACGCAGTATTAAAACATGCCTAAACTAAGGTTGCTTCTAGACCAAGTTGAGGAGAAGGACATAGAACTGGCGACGCTGTATGTGTCTCCATTTAAATGGATTCATGCAAACCAGTCCAGCAGAGGGACAATATGTTCTGGTCACAAGTAACTGTAAGACTGTGTTTACGCCAAATCAGGGTTAACTACATGTTAAATGCCAGCAGCAGTGCCTCCTACAGGTAACCGTAGGTGGAGTAGTGGGAGTGTGCCAGCGAGAGCATATATGCTTGCACCATGGACTGTTCTTTCAGTTGTCTGCACGAGGAGCCAGCACCCCGAGCCCCCGATTGAGCCGTGGCAAGGCCTGGACTCGCACCCTCCCTCCTCCCATTTCCCCCTCCCTCACTGCTGAAGGCCACCACTGTGCACCTGTCTTCTTTGCTTATAGCACTGATCAGGTCATCTCGTAAGAGAGTGATCGGATGGGGCTGCTTGCTGTTTCTAAGGTTAGCAGTCCCACTGAGAACATCACTAACCATCTGAGATTGCTTCTATCAAAGCCATGCTTTCAAAGCTGCCTCAGTGCATGTCCTTGAAGCACCATAAACCTGTAACTGTGGCACATTGCTATAAACAGTGATACCAGCAAGCAACACCTTTCATCATCATCATTTCTGTATTGTGCTGTTAACCACTGTTGGGAAAATTTGGATAAATCCTGTCTGAAAAGCATTACTCCTGTGTGCCTTTGCATTGTGGGATCAAATCCTGTCTTCCTTCTCAAAACCAAGCTGTTATTGTTTAAAATGGCATTCCCCCGCTCCTTTCTCTCACCTTTAGCTGTATGCTACAGTAAACAGGCCATTTTAGCCCAAATATCCATTGTAAATAGTCATTGTTGGAATTCAGTTTACAATAATCTTTTGATAGCCCAGAGGGCTTCATGTGCCCTGATCATGCAGAAAGTTTAGAGTCAAGATAAGGGTCTGAGCTTATCATGAACAGTTTCTAGTAGTTTGAATTTGCATGTCTGAGCAGACCTGGAGATGGGTTCAAGTTACTCAACTAAAGTGTCAATACAGGCAATTGGAAAT